CCCCAGCTGCTTCACATTAGCATGAATCCCTGCCATATTCCATCATTTCCATTATGCCCTAAGATATAAGTAAAGAACATGAGCTCCATTTGTTTCTCTCCAAGTCTCCCCATCTGCTTTTTTTTTTAAAAATAGAATAGAGTTGGCAAGTTTACATCCCTTCCCTTTCCCAAACACACATTATCTCTGTGAAACAGGTGGCAGCAGTCTCTCCTTTACATGTAAATGAATCTTGATGCCCGTATTTACTACAATCCATATCTGCATAGGCCTGGAGTTTTGAATGGTTCGCTACTGCAATCACAGATTAAAACAAACCGCTGTTTTTTGAGAATGAGAAAAATAATAAAGTATGCTGGATTCTAATAACATGTTAAAACAGTATCACTTTTAGAACTTTCCAATGTAATTAACCAAAAACTAAATAGGATGTTTATTTACATACTAGCATACCAGAAGATTTAACAATTGAACATGAAATTAAGACATCATTTCATTCAAGTGTAGAGATGATCAAACCTAATACTTCAAATCACAAATACACTGTTGGAGCAACTGCCCTAAATTCCTTATTAACATGCAAACACTTAAAACGGCAAAGCTGATTATGTGGAAGCAAACTCTTTAACCAAATCAGCCCGTTCACAAAACTTGCTCTTTTTTTAAATGACTGAAAGCATTTACAACAATTCAGAAACACCAGTAATCCTAAAACAACAGTTATCCCACAATTACTCCCAAAGCCTTGCAATTAAAAAAACTCAAAACTGGTAGGTTAAAACAGAAGGGTTGAATAGGCTTAAAGCAAGCACTAATATAGTTACTTAAAAAGACATGTGTTTGAGAAGAGGAAGAATTAGTGTCAGCACTTCCCATCATTTTTGTTCTTCACCCAGCTATCTGATAAGATTTAGTCTCATGCTCCCATTCCTCATTTTAATCTTGCAAAAAAATAAAAATTCCTCTGTGACATCAGTGACTTTCTTATTTGTACACACACCAGGTTTTAATTTCATTGCAGAGTCAAGACGGATACTGAGAACACAGAGAGAGAAGTTGTTCTTTTTTTTTTTTTTTTGGAAGCAGATACTTTGCAACAAAAACCAAAGATTAAAGTCTGCTTTTTTTATAGGAAAGTATTTTCTGTCCCCTCTTTCACTCAAGTTTCTTCCTATGTTAAAGGAAACAACAATAACCTTCACTGACAGTTCTGTGGGGACTGCCATCATTTGCCAGACAGGAGGCTTACTGCAGTATACTTGGGTAAATCTTACCCCAGTGATCTGTCCTCCGGCCAGCATGAGCTGGGTCTGGGGTATGGCCGCCTGCACTGAAGGCTGCTGGGAAGGCTGGCTTGGCTGCTGAGAGTCCCCAGATTCTTCATTAGATTTAGACTAGTCAAAAAAAAAAAAAAACCATACAACTCTTTATAGTGTAAAACAGATGTTAATGTGTAACACTGCTATCTCAACACTGCACAATAAAAATCTTTCATCTGCATACAAAAAGCCCTTGGGTTTATTTTAAGAGTGTGTTTAAGCAATGGCTCTATGTGCCCACCATCTCAGCTACAATTGCTCAAACATGTCTGTAGGTAATACAGTTTAAACAAAACAAAAAGACTCTCAGGTCTTTTGTAACTCTTTGACACTATTTTCAGGTCTCATTTCATTTTACGCAATGCAACTGAAGCTGACACTCACTACCTTTCACCATAAAGGAAGAAAAGGTTGTTAAAAATTATTCATTGCCTAAAATCCTGAACAATGGAACAAGGGAAGGAGATTGTGTTTCCATTTTCTGTATCTACATCCTGCACCTCTAAGTCATCATACTGTTAGCTTATACAGAACTGGTTTGAGAAATCCTCACAGGTTTATCTACCTACAGCAACATACAGATATATACACAGTGCTTTTAAATAATCAAGGTTTAGCATTTAATTGAATGCAGCTTTATTTAAAAAGATTTAGGGTTCTTTGATTTTTTTTTTTTTTTGGTCATTTTGGTTTTTGGGGTTTTGTTTAAACAGAAGAAATTGTGAAGACATGAGGGAGGAAATGCAAGTGCAAGAAGGGGGGGAGAAGAGTTTTATGATAATTAAAACTGGTTATGCAGAACATTAAAATTCTGCATAGATTTGCATATTTTCCACCACCTGTTTTGGGGACTGCAGAGCAGGCTAATTAACATAAAGGCTCTGATTAATTCTGCCAGTCATTGAGCGATAATTACAGCGCAGGACTGTAAACATTCTGCACTGGAGATACAGCCTGTTTGCCAACATCTCTCTCAGGGATGGAAGTTTACCATGGCAACCAAGGCAATTTTCTGCCTCCTTCCTCTTAGAAAGGAAGGTCACTATACCTCCTCTTCTTTCCAAATTGTTATTATGTATAAGTGGGTCCACATTCTATTGCATTTCACGTAATGCACTATCTACATTCTTTAATAACAAGCAATACTGAAACCAGTTTTCAATAAAACTGCATCCCTTTCCCCTTAATATAGTACTGAGAGGAAGTGGCACGTTAACTGATACGCTGAAGTGTTCAGCATCATAAAAAGTTTGAAAGCTTTGTTGTCTCACGTACACTATTAAACAACAATTACTCTGACTTATTTTGAAATCACTGTGTGTTATTTACACAAGCAAACTACACTAGCCACATTACATAGTTAATGTTATGTTATACTCCTATACTCAGCTACCAGAAGTAAGGACAAATTGCTAAGTAATACTTGCTATGTTTAAAGTGAATAAATGCAAGAACATGAAATATTCCTGGAGTTTTATAGTTTTCATGATACAACACCTGACTGAAATTCAGTATAAAATTATGATCACTGCATGTTTTAAACAACTCCGGTTTCTGAATGCTTACAATCCTGAACCTGATTTACAGTTGTAAAACTATTACTCCTTCATACCTATCAATTGCAAGACCAGTCAGAATGAAAAGAAAGAGAGTAACCTATCGTAGGTTAAAAACTATCTCTAATGGGACCATAATGCTGTTTGGGATGAGAGAAGGACAAGTAGCAGAAAGAAACTGTCTTTACCTGTACATTTAAGGACTGAGCAGCAGCCTGTAAACTTGTTCCAGCGAGCTGGACCTACAACACAGTGCAAAAATGGAAATGAAGTAATGTAGAATCCACAGAAAACTTTAACAATGTAAAAAGAACAACCTCCTCACCTGCACCCCAACAAAAACTCCCCCAAGAACAATGCATACCCTTCTAACACCTGAAACTGTGAAATATGGGTTGTGCTCCAGGCTGAAAAAAAAAAAAAATCTGTAAGACTCTTCCACAGTGTTATTTGTCTACCTCTTGCTGAACATATTCCTGCCTAGGGATCTAGATATTATCATGAAATTGAGTGGAAACAGAGCATTTTGGCATGGACAGGCTAACTGTTCCTATTCCTGTTAAAAAATCCAGGCTTCAGGGAAGGGCTCTACTCATCATCATCCTTCTAATATTTCAGAATGGGTCTTACCCCAAAAATGTACACTGCATTCACTCACTTCCTTATACGGCAGAGGAGCAATCACCTGCACAGTACAAAACCCACAGCATAAACACTCTTCCTCAAATCAACCCATTCAAGTATTTGCAGTCCTCAGCCACTGAAAAGAAGATCTCAATACAGAAGACTGGAGACACTTTACAAAGGCTGTATTGATTCAGGTATACTCAAAACTTGAATTCAATGTTTGTGATTAAGCAGTCCAAACAAGTTCTTGTGGGTTACCAGTGAAGAAAAACTGAGGCTTCAGAAAGTGCGATTTTTAAAGAGTGTTATTTTATCTCTAATAAGGATTTTCCCTGTACAACAAATGCTAAATTTTCATTTACTGAAGACCGTTTTAATCAGTCTTGCTTTGTTTCTACCACTGCTCCTACTATAAAGAAGGAATGCTATGTAATTAATTACCAACACTTTCAAAGGTCAGAGTTACAGCCTGTAGTGAATTCCATCTCTGGCCACGTTTGAAAACCACTGCTCATCTGAAAACCAGGCAACACATAAGGATACAATAAAGCAAAGCAAAACGTAGCACTCTTGCCTCTAGAAAAAGACGTCCCCACATAATATACATCACAAAAGAGTCAACATATCCGCAAGCACAGGAAGAAGAGTTTTAATTTAAATCACAGTACATTCAATTAATAACTGAATATTTGAACAGGCAACACTTAAGGGTCACCTTGGAAATATTTCCTTCCGCTCTAGCTTAAGGTATTAGACTTACTAAGTGTGTTCTACATCTAAGCAAACAGTCCCAGAAAAGCTCCTCCTCATCACAAGCAAAATACAGTTTGACACAGTTGATGTACTCTGAGCTTTTAACATGAATTAACAGCAGTGAATAATCTAACCAATAATAGCCTGCCGTCCAAAAAATATATTCAGAAATAATACTTTAAAAGTTATGTAGTAATGAAAAAAACACATCAAAGACTACAAATGTATCTCACTCGGATACAGCTAGTGTATTGCTGAAAAACTCCTTAAATGCAATTTGGACACCCTTTCCACCACACAACAAACCTTTTCTAATTAGAAATTAAGTTGTTCCTGAATGTTGCCTACAATCTAATATTTTGTATTAGTGTGGAGGAAAGCACTGTGTGTTAAGAGTAATACCCCACTAGCAGCAGCCACACTAGAAGAGGGCAGTTTGACAATAGATTCCCACACACCTGCAGATGCATAAAAGAATAGCTGAGATTTTCCTTTGAACTAGAGTTTCAAGAAGTGAATCACACTTTATCAAACATAAAGTTATAAAGATCCTGACAACTGTTTAAATAAATACATTTCTGACACAAGATAAAGCACTGTGCTACATACAATTACTGTCCTGGATCAATCTATATAACAAAACAAAGACTAAAGCAAACACACAAAATTCTGCAGAACAGCTGTATCTGTCTCCATGCTAAACAAATACTGACAAACCCATGAAAACTAGTCAGCTTCTCTCCACATAAAGGCAGCCTACAACAGCCTGTTGGTTCAGGAAATTCAAACACTGGCACTCCCTAGGTCCTATATAACCCAATCTACTAGGAAAATTTTAATTATGTGGCAAGACATGTGGAATGTTTCATACAATAAAATGGCAGTTCAGAGCTCTTAAAAGAAGGCATAAAGGCTTCAGTACATCAATTATACTACAATAACTGTGCAACCTCAGACCTCAAACATTCAAGGTCAGCCAATTAGGTACAGCATTTTAAAGTTTAAACTTGGTGCTGAGGAAGGGAAAGAAATTAGGACATTTGTTTTCATACATCAAGTGCGAACAGATAAAAACTACAAAAAAATGCCCTTTATACTTCTCTTCACCTAGGGATGTCCCATTTTGCTTCAGTCTACATCTGAAGTTCAGCTTTTATTCCCTAAACACAGCAGCAGAAGAACAGAGGGACAGTAGTAGAAGCCTGAATATCATCTGACAAACAGGTCCTTGAAATAACTTTAAAAACCAAAACAAACAAAACCCCCCTCACAAACCATATATGCTTAATAAGTACAATCAGTTTATATTTCTAGTTAATGCATAAGAGCTTGAAAGATTGATGCATAGTGCTGATCAGCTACCATTCAGCACCACTTCTGGTTTCTTAACTAGGTAATTACAGTTTCAGAAGCTTGGCAGCTGTTGAGCCAATACAATCCTTTACCAGAAAGATCAAATTTTACCTTGCCTTTCAAAATTTGGTATCTCCATTAAGGCTTAAAAAAACCAAACAAAAACCCCAAACCCCCAAAAATTTAGGCATTCTCAAGTCCCCAGAAAGGGGCCTTCCAGTTCCCCCAAATAGGTCTCACCTGTCTAGATGTATTCTGCAGCCTAACGCAATGAAGTGAGTGCCACCATAAGAACTTTTTCCCATCCAAGCCATTTAAGCATGTGGTCTACCCATATGTTCCTTTACATGAATACCCATCATTCACAGAAAGAGAGAACACAGAACATACAAGAACAGCTGCATTCGTACCTGCCTGAGTCTCCCCTACTTTGAAATAGATCTTCTCTTACCTGATGAAAGTGCCCAAGCAAGGCCTGGGCTGTAGAGATTGCTCCTCCGACAGGCACAGGCTGCTTTTGAAAGTCCAGGCCATTTGTTTGCGTGCCTGGAGAAAGAGAGATATTAAGAATTATTAGGTATTACTTTTATGAAATGGAAGAAGAATTAATATTCCTAAGTCTCCTGCTAGTCTCTCAATACTGTGTAGTAGAAAAATACCCTGAGACTAACAAGAATTGAAGTTTTTTATTGAAAGGAGAGGTGGGCAAGCAGTGTCACTTCCAGACTTAGGTAATATAGCATTTGTCAGCTGAACAAAATCAACATCATATTTCCTTTAGCTTCTATCATCTTACCTACTCCATGTACGCTATTACCCCATCATTCTCTGCCATGGTTTGAGAACCAAATGGGTGCATGCTGCTAAGGTTAAACTGTATTTCCATTCTCCATGCACTCTCTATCCAGCAGTTGCTGAAGACTATCTTCAAGTTCAGAAAGTGGCAAGACCAAGGTTCATATAAAGTCACCTTTCATTAAAGACAGGTAAAATAATACTTGATGAAAACACAAGTACCGTATATACATAGCAGTTATGGGCCACAGTTTTACTCTGTTGATAAAAAAATACCTCCACATTTCCATGAATATTTGTGCAGAGCTCTCATTACATAAGACAACTGCCTGGGCTTGTTTTGCTGTCACCCACTTTCATATAACTAAAACTTCATTATTTTCCTACATTTTTGTTGTCTCCATCCTAAACAGCTCAGAAGACAGGAAAACCCCCAAACTATCCTCAAATAATCTGGTTGTGAGGAGAAGAAGAAGGGAGAAAAAAAAAACCAACCCAAACATTTTTCCCCCACAAGAAACTACCACAGAATTCTCTTCTGCCAAGAGGAACTGTAACTACAAACTTTTAAGAATCATTCTGTGGGGAGATGATAAAATCAACATTAGGGATTATCAACAACTGTATTTTGGTATGTACGTTGGGTATTACTATATACAGTGGCTAACATCAAGAAGGGAGACTGAGTGTATCAGGCTGCGTGGAATTTCTAGAACAGATGAAGCAATCTTAAAAATTGTGTGACTGAAATGAAGTAAAACCAGCTTTAGACTTTCATGTTTACTCTTCGTGACAACCAGATTTTGTTCTCTACCTATGGACAGGTGTTCAACTAACTCCTACTTCAAAATTCCTTCCATCATCTCCATTTCTTGCCATAAATATCTAGGTTATCTACTAAGCAAAAGAAAGTCACAGTTGTTTAACAACAATGGGGGTTTGCTATTCCTTAGAAACATCTGCAAAAGCAAGCAGGCATAAAATTTGATTAGTGAAGTACACTATCCAATATTTTACATTGCTATCTTGACCTACAAACAGCTTACATAGATAAAATTTCCAAAGATGGAGTCACTGTTCAATTAAATACAGATACAATGTAGATAGTCAAGCTTTCTAGCACCCATGTAAGGTATACCTAAGGTAGCCCTTTGATGCATATTTGGTGGAGGTACTGTGGGGGTAGAGTTGGTCTACTCTCATGTTTTTAATCCTATGCTTTGGACCAGGGTTTACAGACTTCAGAGACTTATGTGCAGTCAAAGATCCACAGACGTGTTAAAAATATTCAAATTTTAACCTGCGTAAAATTATTTTGCTTAATGAGTCTAAAATTCCAATCCAAAGTGAATGGAAGGACTAGAACTGGTCTGAATTGATCCTGAATGAATGCAACTTGGTTGAATTTCTCCATAGAAGGATCTCATCTATTTTCATTCTTTGCAGTAAACTGCAGAATTTTCTCAATACAGAAGGCCAAAGGGAGAGAGAAGATGATTGGGTAAATATATAAAAATAATTCCTGACAAACAGCTACTGTAATTCAAAGGAAAATCTACCACCTCCTCATTTAAGCAGATGTTTTGAATCAGTTCTCAACCTGTGGTCAGGGACCAAGTAGGAAAAAAAAAAGAAAGATACAGAAAACTGTAAGGCAGATATTGCTCATTCCAATTGGAAACTTGTAGGGGTCAAAAAAATTATCCATTTCTGAGAGGACTAGCTGGAAGCCTCACCTTAAATAAATAGGTGAAGCTGTTTAGTTAACCATCTTCCAAAAAGAGCCTCAAATCACAATGCCGTATTAAAAGAGCACTGCTGTGCATGTGTGCAGCAGAAATGCTCCAGTTAGCACTTCTGCTGACTCTTAATATGGAAATTTGAAATGAGCCTCCTAGGGTTGGTAGTTTTGAACAAAGCAAGTTCCAAGACTGAGCTTAAAATCTCCATGGGTCCCAAAAAACAGTTTAGACAGGTACTGACAGAAAACAACATTTTCTTTAAATTCAACCTTGAAGGACTTCAACTCCCTCTCCCCACGCCTCCCAAAACCAAACTTGGAGCAAAAAAAACCCAAACCACACCTGTTCACACTGCTCTACTTGCATGTTAAGCTTTCTTTGGTATTTGGAAGTACAGTGTCCCTTCCCCTTCAGATGCAGCCTTAGTTTTGGAAGGAATGCTACCCAGGTTGCTTATATTTATCACAGGATGCCTGTCTTTTGAAGAACAGCAGGGAAAATGAACTTTGAGTCCAGCATATGAGAGGCCTTGCTCTTAAGAAGCTCAATAAGGATGTGACACCACTCCTGTGGAATCCAAGAAATCTGGTAAGTAGACTGGAAAATGGAGCTGTCAGAAGCAGAAGGTCAGCACATTGTAAGGACATGAAAGGACCAGAATGCCACTTCTGCTCAAGATAAGAGTTAAATGCAAAAACCCATGGTGATTAATAGACATGGCAGATGCAATCACAAGTATTGTGATTTTAACAATCCCAAGTATTTGTACCTTTTCCATCTCCATCCCAGCTCCCGTAACTGCTAGAGCTGATCTAACAGCTCACCAACACAAAAAAAACCAGGAGTGGGAACTCTCCATCTCCCCTTTCTTCTTGGTTCCAACTACATTGTCCCTGACCCGCCCCTTCTGGTAGTTCATGGACACAGCAGTAAGCCAATTCACCTTTCTAACTGAGTAGAAAACTATTCTTGTGAACTGTTCCCTTTTTCTTTTGGCCAAGTTAGTTTTCTGCCAGTTATGTGAGATAAATTAACTTACCTTAGGGCCCAGCAAGAAGCAGATAATGCAAAGCAGGGCACGTCAGAGACATGGTAATAGGGAAATGAGCCTCCCCCACCCCCATCAAGTTGTTAAGACTGAATCAAGCTGTAGGATGAAATTTCACCCTTATAGCCCAAGTCCAGTGCAACTTAAGCACATTTAAATTCTGGCATAAATTCAGTCATGTGGTTAGCTGCTTCACAGAGTTGGTTTGGATGAAGACTAATACTAAGTGCAATTAATTTTCAGCCAAATCAAATCTTTGAACCATCTCACTGCCACTCCAGAGAAAGGAACAGAACACTAAGTACCAGGACACCCTGAACGTGGATTAGTTTATGTTGTCTTAGAATTGTACCTGCAGAAGGTAAAGGCATGACAAAATGGAGCAGGCAAAGGTAACAATGCACCTGCAGTCAGGAGAAGAACATACTCCCAAAATCCAAGATCATAATCATCAGGCTTTAGTCTGAGTTTACAAACTGTATAGGAAAGGAAGAAGAGTGAGGAACTACAGGTCTGGGGAGATGTGGAGTAAGGTGCAAAAAAGGACTCAGGAAAGGAAGGCAAACAAGGAGAAGGAAGATTTCAGAACTAACGAGTGGGTATCTGCACTGCGCTGTGGGAGATAATCTTCCAGCACCAGCAGTACATTTCCCCGTCTCTCTCTCTCTCTCTGCATGTGTTCAGAGAGATATCCTCAATACTCAGAAATTGTTGGTTCCTTGTCCGTATTACTAATAAGAAGTTTAGCATTGATATTTGCCCAGAATTTTAGCAGTTAAAGAATATTTCATGGTCCCTCTCCCGCTCCCCTATAGACTCTCTTCCTATGGAAAGTGGAAAATCCATCTCTGGAAATGAAGCAATGCAAACAAGAATCCTTCCAAATACGACACTTACAAAAAATAGACAGTTACAGAAAGTTACAGAAATAAGTGTTTATAAAAAATCATTTTCAGGCATTTTGCTTCAGAGCCTATGTTCCCCAGACAATCAATGACACTTTCAGTTCCTTAGCATCCAAGCTGAAAGCTCACTTCTTTTCACTAAGTATGCACATGGAGCCCAGAACCATAATCTAAGTACCCTGATCAGAAGCCTAAAATTACATTCCGTGAGTATTCCTTTCAGGATTTAACATCTGCCAGTTGACCAATGCAACTGATGCTTGAGCCCCTAAAGAATGTCACAAATGCCATTAATCACTACTTCCAGTAGTTTATGAGAACTATATTTAAAAACAAAACAGTGACTGCAGAACAAAGGGTCCTCAAAAATTCTAGATTATTTTAGTTTGCATCATTTAAAAAGTCAGGAAACAAAACTAAAAGGAATGACTGAGAACATTTAAATTACAGAAGCAACGCTTGCAAAAGTTCCAAACACCAGTAAGAGTCAAACTTCTGTAATAACTAACCTTAGTATTAGAGTATAAAAAAAAATACAGATGTTGTATCCCCTTTTGTGATGAAAGCATCTACATGCAGTTTTACAATCCATCAATTTATTTGCACCATAACCACCCCCCTCCACACTGATGAAGTATTTGCCTAGGAGATCAGAGCCAGCGTTCTGCTGAAGCAGAGGCAATACTTCTGTGATAATGGACTACCTTTGACTAAACCAAGTCCTCCTCTTAAACAGCTCAGTTTAGGTGAAACTGCTAGTTAAAGCTGCACTTAAGGAAGCGTATTGGGAATGCACTCTTTGGAGAAAGTATACCCAGGGAACTGTGGTCATACAGAACAGGAAGTCTGAATTTTCTCAGAAGTTTATACACACCCTCCAGCTACAAGGATTCTATAGGGGTATTTAAAACCATTGTTCTCTTGATGCTGTTTACGATTATGAAATATTTACAGCCCATATGTTTTTTGAAATAATGTTTTATATCATCCTAAACCAGTATTAAATAAATAATAAATGATTTTTGTAAATAAAAAAATTTTATACCTCTCCTATTACACATACAACATAAATTATAAAAACTGAGATGCCAGTAACAAAACACATAAGTGAGCAGAATTCCTTTTGACTAACCCCATGCATTGGCAGAAAACACTGAGCCTCTCTGATCAGTATCGGGAACATTCAGTAGCTGTATTAAAGCCTTGCACAAAGAATGAGGAGACAGCAGCATAAAATGAAATAAATTGCTAATTTCATCACAGCTCCAGAGTTTAAAATAAAACTCTTATTACTGAACCTAGAAGAGGAAAAATAATTTTCCTCATACAAGGTACTCAAAGCAACAGGTTCCTACTCGCTAAAGTTTTCTCTTCCCAAATGCTATTCCGAGCTCAGAGAAGATTCTGAGTTATGTTAAACTATTTACTTTCTATTTGAAACTGTCATTTCTCTTGCTTGCAAAATGGACATTAAATTACCTCCAGAAAGGAATTAAAGCATGAGATAGCATGATTGAGTTACAGTGGCTTAACAAGCTTCTTCAATGGCTTAGAACTTGGCCACATCTTAAGGATGCACCATAAGTCACACTGGCCCTGACAGAACAGCTATTCTTCCCCAGCCAAATTTCAAGGTTCTGTTCTAACACACGAAGAGATTACAGAAAAGCTGGCTAACGTTTTTTTTAACGTTGAGAAAGGATGCTTTCTCCCTTTGTCTTGTTCTTGAAAACTGTTGTGAGAGCTTGAATGAAATCTAAAATGGAAACAAGATCAATCAGTGGCCTGCATCTGCCAGGGAAAATTTCCACCCAAAATCAAATGACAAAGTTAGAGGTGCCAAAGGTATGTTCTGCCAGGGGAAAATGAGACTACTTATGGAGAGCTAGTGCCACCAGAGCTTCTGTAGTATCAGAAACATTACAGACAGAGGAAGTGGGGAAGGGGAGTCTTATATACAAAGTGTGGGTAATGCTCTGATACAGTAGGTGTGAACAATGTCCTGCATACAGTAAGGTTAATGACAAGACAAAAGCGTTCTCAAGTCTCTAAAAACAGGATGGGGGACATGTTGTTTTGGTTTGGTTTATTTTTTCAGTTTGTGTAAACTGGTAAAGAAATTTGCTTTTAATACCCATTCAATTCCACCAGAAAATATCTGTGCACCAAGTCATCATTTCTTACCTGTGTTCCCATCCCCGCTCTCCATTGATGGTTTACTGTTTTCTGACGGATTGTTCATTCTTGAGTCTGCATTAAAACAGAAATAAAGATAAACTAATACAGCCAAAAAAGCCCCAAATCTATTCATACCTTCTTGTCCCAGGGAAGTACAGAACATCAGGAATTTGACATGTACTTTACCCTAATTCAGATTATAACACAAAAAGAACTATCAGAAGCAGAAGACAACACCGAATCTTCCTGATAAATATTGTTTCAAAATTTTGTATGTCCTGTTATTCCCATACATGAAAACATGATGTTAAGAGAATAAAAGACAGCATGCCAGAGGGCAGAGATAGGTAGGAACTTAATTTTCAGTACAATGACAGTCATAGAGGCAAGGGGGGGAGGGGGGGGCACACCAAGGCTCAAAAACATTAAGTCTGACCACCATGGCCTACATTCCCCCCAATATGGGAAAGGAAATTCAGTCATTGTAATTAAATAGATGCCATTTTTCTAATACTGCATTTTTATTTTACAGGAATGTCACTGATATTAAGTTATTTTATATTTCCTATATATTCATGCAAAACCATACAAATATAAAATAATTCCTCTTCCTTCCCCCTCTGGATGAATCTATTGAAAAGTCTGCTCTTGGTTTCAAAGCTTGTCAGCTGAATATAGTGCAATGCAGAAGGCCTCTCCAGATGGCAGACAGAGAATATAGTTTCCTTATATAGGAATCTATATGGATGTTCTGTGTACAGCATCAGCTCTCCAGCTTATTACCTCCTCATTCCTTGCTACCAACCTCAGTGTGCCACATTATCACAAACCAAAATTACAAGAAGAATCTCAAGACAGACCAGTTCATAAAATGAAGTGTAAGCAAATCCTTAAGCACATTCTTCCATTCCTATAACCAGTTAAATGCAAGTTCAATGAGCTCAAAATGAAACCCTTTACTCCAGGATATTCTCTTGCTAGGTGCTTAAAAGGTTACCTCTGTCATGGACTTTCATCAAAGCAGTGATTTCCAAAATACCAATGGGTTGAAGAATAATACAGCAACAGCATTAACTGCTGCATCTTTTCCCCAGATATTTCCAAGAATGCCCAGACACTTCACTACTTGGCAACCTATGAGAGCTGGAAATGAGAAGCCGGACTATTGCCATGTACTATCACCTGCTACTGCCCAGAGAGGCCAGTGCCACCCTCAGGCTATCAGAACCAGGGGCAACAGCAGCAAAGGAACACAGGCACAAGCCAGGAGGAACGAAGCATGTGAACAGGGCCCAAGTGAAAACAGGAGTCACGATGAAGCCCGGCTGGGAGTGTGGGGTGGGAAGAGGAGGGAACTAGTTAGAAATGCAGCGTGTGTGAGAGAAAAGACAAGAGTCATCAACCTTGGAAAAACTCCAATAAGCAGTTAGGAAACACAATTTAAGACACATCAATATTTTTAAAACTAATGTAATTTTCCATGTAAACAAATACTGCAGTTGAACCCAGCAGTGCCTAGAAAACCCGGAAGACTGTAAGAAACAGGAATCTTCTCCCAAGAAGTTAACTCAACCTCTCCAGTGCTTCAACTCTTCTCAGAAAGTTCCTATGCCTATGCTTAAATGTTTCAAATGTCAGCCACGTGTAAAAGAGATCTGAACTATCAATGTTATTCTTATTATACAGGCAGACGTGTTAAACTGCTTTTTGAAAGGGGGAGTGACTGAGGAGAAACTTTCCAGCTGAGTGCTGCTGGCCCACACTTCAGCAGAAGGCTGCGAGTTTCATCCCGTTTTTCACAACCTCTGCTTAGCAGATTCAACATACAAGTTCATAGTCTTGAAAGACAGAGCTCTGCGAAGGTTGCAGATACAGAACTTATTGCTTCCCGGCTCCTTATTTTGTAATTTTCACATTTGGATAGTACAATCCACACTCTAGAAACCGAAAATGGGTTCCACTGACTGGACAGAAATGTTTGTTGTTGATATGCCACTCCCTGCTGATAGATCTGTGTGTAAAACAAATACAAGTATCTTTCTGTCTAGAAGTCACATGTACCTTAAATTGAGTTTATTGTTGTGGCAACAGCACATTTATTTAAAGTGATTATAGGCAACATTCATTTGATAAACAGCATTAGTTTGTTCCTTGACACACAGCTGGCTACTGGAATTAGTTTAGGTTCAGAGAACACTGAATGGGAGACTTCTCTTTGGACACAAACATGAAGATTGCTCATTTTCCTGCTGGGTGAGGAAAGAGGGCTTAGAAGTCCAGTACATTTGGTTGTGAAAAGTAGGCTAACTCATGGGGCTATTGAGCATAGGATGTATTTTTTTTTAAGCCCAGTACACAAGGATAGCCTGAGCTCATGATAGGACTGACCACAGAAGGGAAGAGCACAGGTTGAGATAGTCTCTCAACAACATGGGATCCATTCACTGAACCACTTCAGAAAGCCCTTGCAAGAAAAATAACACAGGGCCTCCTGAGCTAGTTTGTTGCAGAAACTGCAGTATTAGAGCCACCGTGCAGGATACTAATGGTAGAACAAACAAACTAAACCCAGAGAGAGGACACAACTGTCCTGTGCACAGAATTCCAAGCAACGTAGTGACTGTTCTCTCTGTATGAGGAAGCTCACACAACAAACCTTCCTGCATGACCAGCAAGTTTGCTCAGGACAAAGTTATAACTGTACAGACCTCTTTTCATAAAGCAACCAGGAGATGCTTTTCTTTCAGGCTATGCTGCAAAATAAATCCTTTTTAAAAAGGTTTTCAGTGTTTCCTAGTATTAGACATACACATAAAGTTCACTCAACTACCAAAAGCATGTCTAAATGAAGGCTATTTTATTGTAAAGATTCATCCCTAACAAAGACCTCAAACACCGCTATTGCAAAAAAGCAGCAAGTTGGATGAAGAAACGTCTTTCTGGTACTGCTCAGGTTCAAGTGAAGGATAGCATCCATTATTTCACCAGCTGACTATTTCTTGTTCAATCTGTGGGCCTTCTGCATGTAAAGCATCAAGAACAATGCCGCTATTTCCATTGCAAATGGTATGACATACATCTGAAGCACAAACCTGCTACCAGCAAAACAGACATATATCCGCAGGACATTAAACCTATGGATTCATTATACATCAAATAAAAAGGTTATTTGGTTTACACATGCTCATACAATTTCTGCTTTAAAGTTAAAAGAATAAACAAATGAAGTAGGCTAAAAAACCCAAAACATAATGCCCTCACCTTTTCTTTTTCCTTTAGATCTTACTCGGGTTTTAAATAAAGGCCCTGGGCTACAACTTCTGCCAACATTTTCTAAAAACAAACTCCACAGAAGGAAGGATCGAAAGCAGCAGGTGCATGACTGAAATCAAACTCTCAGGAGTGAATACATTCGGTACTGCTACTGCATGAGCAGGGCTGAGGGTGTCGCAAGGCAGTGCTGTGCCAGGCTTTCACACACCCTCCGTAACATTTTCAAAAGGTATTCAGAAAAAAAAAGCAGCGCACACTGGACCAACCTGGAGTATTAGGGACTGTACATAGCTAGCAAAACCCAGAAAATCTTACCATGGAATATATCATTAACTACTCCCTTTCACCCATTAAAGTGAAACTGCCTAATACTCCACCAGTACCAGAAAAAATGATTCATTGATGTGTACGGAAAAAACAAAGTTCAGTGCGAGTGAAAACATGCCAAGAATTCACTACTCATTTTCAAAAAACCACTTCACATTCAGAAACAAATATTCAGATGTCTGCTTTAAAATTTACCATCCAAAAATATATTCTCTTACTTTGACGTATAAGTTCTTACATGAACTTATATAATGGAATCAAAAGAATAATTAAGAAGAAAAATCTATCTGTTGAGCTTTAGGAAAAAGAATAAAAGCTACTGTAAAATTGGGATGATCTTTATTATAAATAACTTTAAAAGACATGAAGAAATTACGGCATGTCTGTTCTGCAGTTCTGATGGAATCTCAGCACAGGAAATATATTATCCCAGTAACCTTAGGCACAGCCTGCAACGGTATCAATGGCAACCACTGTGGACTCCACCTTATTTTCTATTACGCATGAAGAACCTTGCTATTACATTAAAAATACACAGGCATAATATACATTCTGTTGGGGAATGGCTCAATACAGCTACTAAATTCTTTGAGACTGGGACTTTCATTCATTTTAATGCTTTAAAATTCGTAACACACAGATATGCAGGTCAAGTCCAGTGTTTGTTAGAAGCCAAATGCTTCTCAGATTGAAATCCTAAAAGCAAAAGGTCTGTATTAGTATCTCCAAGCCTAGCAGCAAATCTCTCCAGTGCAGGGGAAACAAGTTCTGCTGGAGCGAGGGAGAGAAGGAAAAAAACAAACCATGTATTTCCCTGGTACAGATCTATCTATCTATCTACCAGGCAGCTACTTGCTGCCGATTCACTGGTGAGCTTCAGCCTTACAAATACCTTCCCTAGCCCCTGCATATGTGATTAAGCCTCTATGCATAGTCAACCTCACAGCCTCTATTTCCATATTAAACGCTTATAAGAAAGAGCTGAGGTGGTACCCACCTAGAACGTAGTCGCTGCAGTCCAGCATTGCTGTGGTATCCTCTACAGGTTCAGACAGTCCAAGGAAAGGGAGAATGGCAATTTCTATCAAACCTACACTACTGCTCTCGACCGGACAAGAAAGGGAGTGGGGAGGTGGGGGAAGAAATACAACTTCAGTTACACCATAGCAATCTTCAACTGAACAGGGAAACTTCAGTTGCTCTGTGGAGTTTTAGTCTCTCCTACTAGCTGTGTCTGACATTGTCAAGGCGACTGAAGCGTGAAAAGTTCCCCTTTTTGTAATAAAATAGAAACAAAGATTGCAGCTGGCAGTTTCCATAATGAAGCTTAATCAGTATGCGCCTGATTAGGGCCTTATGCAAATCTCCCCTCGTTAGCACAGCAGCCAGCACTTTGAAGTCCATGAACAATTCATTTGCAGAGTACACTGAAAGCGCTCCCTGCATAATTTAAATCATGGTATAAATATTTATCAGCTCATTTGCATATTAATTGGCAGTGCATGAAGGGAAAAATTATCTCCCGAGTGCCAGCATAATAATTAGGGAACAAAATGAATTTTCTTCCAATAGCTTGGCTTCTCAGCCCTAACTCAAGCACAGTACCACAGGGGAGCAGGAGGGGGAAGAGACAGAGTTCTGTTCAAATGCCACTGAAATGACACGTACAAATTAGAAACAACTCTACAGACTTAAGCACCTTTAATCTTATTCCTGCT